ATGTATGGGTTGTGATAAAAGTTGTATGAGCCCCTAATAAAATTGTTTAAATAAATTAATTAAATAAAATAATGAAAAAAGGAATAAATAAATAAATAAATAAAATTGAACGAATGATTATTTTAAAATGTTATTGTTGTTAGGTGCCATTAAGTTGATTCCGACTCATATAAACCTTATGTGCCACAGAGCAAAACGCTGGCCAGTCCTGCGCCATCCTCACAGCTGATTTTATGTTTGACCCCAATTGTGGCAGCCGCTTGTCCATCCATCTTGCTCAGGGTCTTCCTCTTTCACATTGAAGCAACTAAGGTGCGCCTGACCCAAGCCATGGTTTATTCAATTGACTCGTGCATGTGAAAGTTGGACACAGAGTAAGAAAGACTGCAGAAAATCAATGCATTTGAATTATGGAGCTAAAGAGGAATAACGAAAGTACCATGGACTGCTACTTGAGTATGCATTACAACTCAATGTAAAGAAGACCAAAATCTTTACAACTGGCCCAATGGGTAATGTCATAGTAAAGGAGAAACGGTTGAAGGTGTTAAGGATTCTGTGTTTCTTGGATCCACAATTAAGGCTCATGGAAGCAGCAGTCAAGAGAAGGGAAAAAAAGGATACATTGCATTAAGTAAGTGTGCTGCACAAGACCTCTTTTGTGTATTGAAGAGCAAGGATGTTACTTTGAGGAGACCAAGGTGATCCTGACTCAAGCCATGGTACTCTCCATTGCATCATTACCTGTGAAAGTTGGACATTGAATAAGGAAGATCCTAGAGGAATCAATGTATTGGAATTATGATGCTGGAGAAGAATATTGAAAGTACCATGGATTGCTCACAGGACAAACTGATCAGTGTTGGAAGAAGCAAGGCCAGAGGGCTCCTTAGAGCAAGGATGGCAAGGTTTCATCTTGCACACTTTGGACATCCTGTCAGGAAAGACCAGTCTCTGGAGAAGGACATCCCGCTTGGTAAAGTGGAAAAGCAGCAAAAAGAGAAAGGCTCTCAATGAGATGGATTCACACTGTGGTTGCATCAATGGACTCCGGCATAGGAACAATTATGGAATGGCACAGGGCCGTGCAGTGTCGTGCTATGTTGTGTAAAGGGCTGCGATGGGTTGGAGCTGACTCAACAGCACCTAACAACTAACAACAACAATATGGACTGCCAAAAGAACAAACAAATCCTTCTCGGAGGAAGGCACGCCAGATTGCTCCTGAGAGCAAGGATGGTGAGTTCATCTCGTCTACTTTTGTCATGTTCTCAACACAGAGCGGTCCCGGAAAAGGGCATCATTCTTGGTAGAGCAGAGGGGCAATGAAGAAGAGGAAGACCCTAGTCAAGATGGATTTAGCTGACTTATATAATACATTGTATTTTACAGTAAAAATATTTTACTTGTTCAATATAATGATCTAAATTATACCCCAATTGCAACTTTTTAAAAAATAGTTTTTATCCATTTTATATCTGGAGCCATAGAAAGCAAATGCTTGTGGCCTAAACCTTTCTGGACTGAAAACCTCTGCAGAGTCTTTGGGGTCCAACATCTGGCGTCCCTCATAACACTTCCAAATGGAAACTGAATGCAGGTGAAGGGTGTATTCCTTCACCACGGGCCTGCTGACTCAAGCGCCACTCTGCCTCTCTCCTCTCTGACTTCATGGGTCTCGGAAACCTGTTGATCCGTAAATCACAGCTAATGTGTTACCCCTTTAGGAAGGCATCAGAAATTCAGTCAGCCTCTAAGTTACGTGGTTTGTTTGTATTTTTTGTACCCCTTTTCATTGGTCCAGAGAGAGGAACCAGACTTTGTCTGCTCAGGCAGCACACAGAGCTGGGCCCGAGGGTTCTGGCCCCATGTTTGCCCTTGCTGGACTTGAAAGGCAAAGCAGGAAAGCAACAGGGCATGGCCTTTGTCCCGTTGCTGGTCTTCATGACACAATGCCTCCAGAGGGAAGGCGAGTGCACATCCACGGTCCACCTGTCCCAGCACTGTTCTCTGGTCTCATACCTTGGGTCAGTGCCTGTGGGGCAAATATGATCCTTAATGCGACTTGCTCCTGCATTGCTCTTTGTTTGGTTGGTTATTTTGGCTCGGTTGGTTTTATTTTGCCTTTGAATCTTTTTTAGTCAGCCATTCCTTCGCGCCCTCCCACCTCGGAGTTTCAGATGGTGCTGTTGTCTCTGCACTTCCACAACGGGCTAACGATGGACAGCTTTGGCTTACTCTGGTCCCTGCAGCCGTTGTGCAAGATCAGGGGCATCTGCTCTCTGTGCTCTGTAATGACTGCGTCATGGCCAGCTCTCCTTCAAAGACCACCTTTCTGTCTTCTCTACCCCCATACCTGCTCTGATCTCTGTACCCTGCCAAGGGTTCACTGTGAGCACTCCTTCCCCTCCTCATGAGGAAGGAATCTATCTGGTGGTTAGCTTCATGCCATGTCCCTTTCCATACCCCAGACTCTCCCTTTTGATTCAGTGCCATCAGGCACCATGCACCAGGGGAAGACACCCCGAGGAGCTAGACGGGCCATACCTGGATGCTGGTTCTGAGTGGAGGGACAGGAACACCTGTGATACCGAGGAGGTTCGGTTGGAGCTGGACACCATCAGGGTCACTAGGAACTGGTCATAGCTAGCACTGAGATCCGTTGCTGAGAAGGAGATGATGGGGGCTGTGGTGTTCAGTCCCCCAGGCGCTGGAGCATGGAAGCAGGAGCGTGAAGGAGCTACAGCAGGTGCACATTTCCAGTGGTACCTAAGGGGGAAACCCGGGGAAGACCTCTGATTCCAAGGCCACTGCATCTCATCCAGAAGCTCCCTAGGATTCCCAAAGAGAAAGCATGGACCAGGAGAAGATGGCACTTCCCTTATTCTACAACCTTGCTTGAGGGCTGGGCTCAGCCCCCACTTGCTCCATATCCTTGCTTCTCCTAAACAGTCCTGGTGATGCAGCGAGTCACGTGGCAGGCTGACACAAGCAAGGTCATTGGTTTGAACCCACTAGCATTCCACAACAGAAATATGAGGCTGTCCGCTACCATACAAATTCAGTCTCAGAAATACAAAGGGAGAACTCTGCTCTGTTCTATAGAATTGCTTTGAGTCAGAATTGACCTGATGACGGTACAATTTTAATATCTACATATTTTAGTGTGATTTCCACACCAACAATTTTGAATTCCAAAGCCTGGATTTAGAGGAGGAAGGTTTAGATAAATGCGAGCACATAATAAAGTGGGTGCACATTATCTGGGGTACTTACCTGAGAGGTGTGCCTTGATCGTCGGGGTCATATGACTGGGATCCACTAAGGACAATGGTGGAAGATGGGGTCCTAGAGATGAAAAGGTGAGTGCCCTCCGAGATAACACTGACAGGAGCCCTGGCTCGAACATCTACCCCCACCGAGTAGTTGCTGTACACCACACTGCCTTCCACTTGAACCTGTAACAGAAACCACAGAACAGTCACCTGGGTGGCTGTTAGGGCTTGAATTGTGACCGACCCCCCCCCCCAAATAAGTTCTGAATCTTGGGCCTTCTACCTATGAGTGTGGTCCTGTTTGGAAACAGATTATTCTATCTTGTGTTCATTAGATCTTACCTAAAAATAGTAGGTTCTAACGAATCACTATGAACTTATTAGAAAAACCAAAATAGGATTTTTAGCAAGATGGCAGAATAGGGAGCTATGCTACACCTACCCTCTACAGCAAAGACATGACAGAGCCAATGAGACAGATGTAAAGGCCGACCCTGGAATGCCCAGCTCCCAAGGAAAGGACCGAGAAGCCTGATGAGAAGTTATTGAACAAAAGGAGCCGAGAGGAGAAAGACGGGTAAATTGTCAGCTGGCCTGACAAGCATAATCATTAGCAGCTCCACTTGCTTAGGACCAGCACAAGCACACACACTGACAACTGACACTAAGTAAGTTAAGATTCTCCTTTGCTCCCCAAACCCTCCTGGAAACCAGTGCAATGGCCCCCTCCCAAACACATCTATCCCAGCAGCTGGGTTCCACACTCACTGCACAGCCCCTGCTGCACTGGGGGACCAGCTCCTTGTGCAATAAGCCTGCTTCCACTTCAATAGATCAACCAAAGGGCAGTGCCAGGTAAGCTGCTTGTCACTGGCCACCCTGGGTGCTCAAGATTCCTGCCCAAACCACCAACCTTACTCCCAGATGCCCTCTGAGCTTTACAGGATTTTTTTTTTTTTGAACAAACATCTTGACGTCAACCATCTGAGCTTGCATAGACTTCTTCCACTTTAGGTCCTGACCTCAGATAAGGGCTTAGCCAACAAGAAATCCATCTATGATGGGCTTCCTACAACACATCCCCGCCCCCTTACCTGGTGAGTTCCTTGGCTGGATGGGGGTCCTGATCCATGCTGGATACCCCATTGCTCCACAGTTTTCTCCTGACTGTGTCCTGCCTCTCTTTCCCCACTTCCTTCTTTTATTTTTACTTCCCTTATTTTTTACCCTTCTGTATCTATACTTTCCTTTTCCCCCCTATTTCTCTTTTCTGCTTTTTCCCTTCCCCCTTTCTTTCTCTTTTTACTCTTAGGGCTTTCTTATTACTGTACTCGTTGCACTTTTCTATTGTCCCCTACCTAATTTTGCTTATTGAATTTTTTCTTTTTCCTCTTTTTAACTTTGATTTTAACTTACTTCCTCTTTTTAAAATTTTCTTTTTAGCTGATTTTTTTTCTTGTTCCATCCATTCAGAGACAACAACTATACCCACGTGGCCCAAGCATACCCTTACTTCCTGCAAAACAATACCAGCATTAATAGAAAACTCAAAAAAAAAAAAAAAGAGAGAGAAAACAACAATTGCTGGTAAAGGTGCAGAGTAACTAGACTCTTCATACACTGCTGGTGAGAGAGGAAAACAGTGCAACCACTGTGCAAAGTGGTATGCTACTTCCTCCAACAGTTAGGAACCATATGCCTTATGAACCAACAATCCCTCTAATATATATATATATTCTCCTAGAGAAATGAGAGCCATGATATGAAGAGATATGCACATAACCATGTTCATCACAGCACTATTCACAATAGCACAATGAAGGAAATGAACCTAAATGTTCATGAGTGGGAGAACGGATTATATTAAATGTAGTACATGACACATATTAGAATACTTGACAATGTTAAAGAATAACAAGAATAACAATGAATATTCATAATAGGGATAAACCTTGAAGACATTAGGCTGAGTGAAATTAGTCAATCACAAAAGGACAAATATTGCATAAGAGTACTATTACACATGTGAAGTTCATGTTTTCATCCTTAAAGAGGGAGAACGGGAAATTATGGGATAGATTGTAGACAAGTGATAGGTTCAATGAAAGGGAGGGTATATACAATAAAAAGTAGGTTGACAAAAAATTATGGCAGCTGAGGAAGATATTGTGGGGTTTGCTAGAGTTAAAGGTGATAGATGCAAATATTGTTATAAAAACAGCTGTGCAGTAAAGGTGATACAAGAGTCAGTTTTGTATAGATATGTAGGCTGAAGAGGTATGGGGAGATGAATAGGAGTATAGGAATATACATAAGTTCGATGATGGTTATTTGTATATGTTTATTTACCTTTGCTGCAATTATATCCATGAATGTGATGGAGCATACAGAGGATAAAGGGCAATTGGCATAACATAGTTCGTGCAGACAATGCTCTACATCCTACTTTGGTGAGCAGGAACTGGGGTCTTAAAAGCTCATGACTCTCTAAGGTGCAACTCTTGGTCTTTCCTCATTTGAAGGAAAGGTGTGTGATAAAAATTGCGAGGAATATGGAAACAATAAGCCCAGTGGACTGGCGGACCATGCAGATCTCTGAGCCCTGAGCCCTGAAGAACTAGGTGATTATTAGCTACTATGACCAACTTCTCTGAAAAGAATCCCATTAGAAGGTCTTGAATAAATGGGGGTAAAATGTTCACACACCTCAAAATCATAAAAGAGACCAATTTTATTGGACATATAGACTGGTGGGACTCCCAAGACTGTTGACTTCGTTAACTTCTGGTCTAGAACCGAGCTCGCCTTCATGTAAAATAATCAACCACTTAAGATAAAAAGGAAAGGATTCCATCTAATATGATTTTCTGTGTATAAAATCCAGGATAGGTAGATCCAGATAGGATAGGTAGATCCAGTTACAGAGACAGTAACTGAATAGGGACATGGCATTGGAGGATGGGAAGGAATGGGATGCTAAAATTTTGAGAAGAAAATGTTCTGACATTGATTGTGGTGATGATTGCACAAATCTTCCTAATTTGACTGAATGATTATATTGTATGATATGGGAAGTATATGCCAACAAAACTAATTTTTTAAAGAACAGCCTTTTTTTTAATGCAAGCACAAAGTTCACAAAATTAAGAAAGATGGAAGATTGTAAAGAGAAAACACGGGGAGGAAATGGGATGAATGGTGGTCCACTGAGGGCACTGCAATGGATAAGGTGAAAAAAGTGTACATGAATTGTGGAATGTAAAGCTGATGATCAGTTCTATAAACCTTATGAGTCCCCAATAAAATGGTTTAAAAAACAAACCTTAAAAAAAGTTTTAAAACAAAACAAAAGAAGAACAGAATAAAAGACCGGAGTGTTGCAAATGATCTGCACTCAGCTATTAATGGAAAGGTTGGTGGTTCAAACACACCAAATAGCACTTTGGAAGAACCAGACCTGGAGATCAGCTCCCATAAAAATTGCAGCCAACCCTACTCCATAGCCAATGAGGTTTTTTTAAATGAACTCACACACACAAAGAACATGTTAATAAAACAAACAGAACAGAGATATGCACATATATTGAGGAGAATAGACACCACATGAGGATCATCTACTAGCCAACGTATGCCAAGGCACTGTGGAGTATTTGGTGCTACCAGCAAGAAGAACTAATTGACAGGGCCAAGACTCAGATTTTGATTTTTGGCCTCCAAACTGTATGAAAATAAATTTCTGTTCTTTAAAGTCATCTACTTGTGGTATTTCTGTTACAGCAACACTAGGAGACAAAGATAGTAATAAAACAGAACGTATTATAGAGCTGGATGTTTCTCTTAAAGCTAGAAAGAAAATCGATGAGTCTCATCATTGGCTCTAACTAATGGCTACATAGAAAAATTTCATTATTTTTCCAACAGCAGAATACCAAGTTTGCCAAAATCAATGAGTTTGGGGTTCACACTAAATCCTAACTCCAATTTAAGAACAATCAGTTCTTACAACCTGGCCCTGCTTGAAACTCACCTCAGGAATGGAACACAGACGATATGGTTGCTACAGCAAAGTGTGGTGAAGAAATCAGATGGTGCCCAGCTACCAGATAACATAGCATCTGGAGTCTTAAAGGCTTGTTTTCAAACAAGCAGCCATCTGAGTGAGATGTCAACTAAGTCCACATGGAAGAAGCATACCAACATCAGTGACTGAAGGATTGTAAATCACATAATCTGAAGCCTGAGCAGCTCCTGATACCAGTGGGACTGTGCATTCTTTCACAACAGATTTTTTAAACTTCCTCCCCTTTTAGATAGTTTGGGAGCACTAGTTTGGTCCATAACCCCAGCTTGTCAACCTGGCCTTTACCACCTACACAATCTAATTCCAAACTCCTTATGCAAGGCTTCCTCCAGCTGCTCTAGGCATCTCACAGGCCTGCTCTCCGCCCCAGACTTAGCCCCAACTATCGCCTCCTCCACATCCTATCCTCATGAACGTACGCTCCCTACATCCCCTTCTGGACCTCTCCTCGTGAAGCCGTGCCTGCCCTCCACATACTCTTAGTCACAATACGCTGAAAAACAGTTGAGGCGCTTCATGAGATACCTTTCCATGGACTTGCTCTTGGACTGGTAGCCTCTCTGTCTGGATGAGGAACCCCTAGTCTTCTTACATCCCCATTACAAGCACATTGGCTTATTCTACTAGGTGCGCATAAAAGTTTTGTTTAATCAAGAAAGAAGAGTTTAAAAGGTCCTGTTAATCACATTGCCAGTGTTTGAAGATATTTTGTTCTTTCGAATTGTTTCTGTTGAAATCCTTTTTTTAATGTAGGATTTTTTTTGGACAGAATATATTAAAGAGCTAAAATATTGAGCTGTGCTAAAATGTTTCAGGGTGCACATTGTACAGTAAACTTAACAATATTACCTTCCAATCACCTCACCGACCTTAGCAACTGCAGTATAGTTTCCATAATCCAGAGCGTAGCTTGGGAGAACAATGGTTTGTTTATGGTTGTCTACAGCAGAGGGAAGGGACACATGGGAGCCATCAGACCTCATAAAACTCCAGGTATAAGAAAGGCCTTGGGAAATGTCACAAAGAATGGCAGCTTCAAATGTCACTCCCAGTCTCACTGGCTGAGATCGCCAGACCTAAGCATTGAAAAGGAAATGATACTTGATGAAAATTCCCGCTATACAATGGATTACTGAAAACTGACCGACTTCAATTACAGTGAAACGCATGAGGCTTGGAATTCAATTTTTTCCCCAGGTCCCGCAAGATATTTGCCTCTGACAGGGTACAGTTTGACCACTTTTATGTCACTCTTTAATAATGGAAAATATTTGAGGCTTCCTTTTATGACAGAAACACATGTTTCTGTCTTACACAGGTTCAAGTTTTCTTAGGCTTTACTGTATTTGTTTGTGAAAATGACAATGTAGAATTCTTAAGAGTGGACTCTATACAATAACAAAACAAATATTCTATTTCTCTAAGAGACAAGAGAAAAATCAAGATATAAAATTAAATATTTCTACTTAGATAATCATAATGAAAATTTTAAAAACCTCTAAATTATAAAAACTAATATAAACCTATCAAAGGAAATAGTTAATAGATTTGATTGCACACATTTAAGTCTTTTCAATACATAATTTTAATTAGCAAACAACAAAAAGAAAAGCAACCATGTACAATATTAATAGTATTCTTTGAAATCACTTAGAAAATTTAAAATATGCCATTAGGAAAATGAACAAAGATATATACAGGCCACTCACAATATAAAATACAAATATACTTCTTGTGTACAGTTGACTATGTAAACTAAATCACATCAGTTTGTTGTGTTGTTATGGTTTTTGTTGTTGTTAAGTACCATCAAGTTGGTTCCAACTCATAGTGCCCCATGAACAACACAACGAAAGTGCCCAGTCTTGTGCCACTTTCACAATGGTTCTTATGTAGGAGCTTCTTGTTGTAGCCACCGTGTCCATCTATCTTGTTGAGGCCCCCCTCTTTTCCACTCTCCGTGTACTGTAGCAAGCATCATATCCTGCTCCAGAACCGGTCTCTCGTGACAAACGCCCAAAGGACATGAGCTGAAGCCTCACCATCCGTGCCTCTCAGGAACACTTTGGCCCTACTTCTTCCAAGACCGATGTGTTGGTCCTTGTGGCAGTCCATTGTACCGTCAATATTCTTCACCAGCACCACAATTCACGTGTATTGATTCTTCTTTCATCTTCTTTCTTCGATGTCCAACTTTCCCATGCATGTGATGCAACTGAAAGGACCGTTGCTTGATTCAGACACACCTTAGTCTTCAAAGTAACCTCCTTGCTTTGCAACACTTTAAAGGGGTCGTGTGCAGGAGATTTGTACATAGCAATATGACCTTTGATCTCTTGACTGTTGCTTTCATGAACATTGATTGCGGATCCAAGCAAGATAAAATCTTGACAATTTTGATCTTTTCCCCATCTATCATGATGTTACTCATTGGTGGGATTCCGGCCAGTTTGCACTGGTTCCGCTGAACTGGATACCTACCTGTTTGTTGAGTTTGCAAACTAGTTATTAAAATGGAAATTGTAATCAGAATTCTCTCTATAGTGGGTGGCTGGGGAGTTGCCCGATATGGAAATCACAAATTTACCTTCCTTATTCTTTTTTAATGTTCATCTGCACAACAGTGCATTCTAAGCACTGCAGTAATGTTCATTCCATCCATAGGTATAAAAAATTAGGCAGAACTACGCTTACAATATTTATTTATTCATTTCAAAAATTACTCATTTTTATTCTCTTGAATTTGTTATTTCAGTAAACAAGCATATAACATGAGAGGGGGGAAATGCTGTCACTTGTTTCAGCTTTGTGCTATGCCCCAAATTCCTACAAGATATTAGGAGTGTGCTGTTGATCCCTGATCTTTAAAACCAATAGAAACCTAGGTCACAATGGACCAAAAGAAATATGAGTCCATATGAAAACAAAAGCTGAATTAATTACTTCAGAAACTTTCAAATATATATAATTTCTAGAAAATCATTGGTTCGTAGGGCTTCTTTTGGAAACACTTCTAGAAAACATTGCAAAAAGTTTGAAAAAAATGACTAATGGATTGCGAACATTTAAAAGCAAGTTGTAGCCAATTTCAAGGTAGGAATAAATTTCTCCATTTTTTTGGAACCAGATTACTGGAATATTGAAGAAGTATGAGTTTCATGGAAAGCTAATGAAGAACAATCGCTTACATTCAATGACCATTTTAATTGCCAAATTGATAATAATAATTATTGAGATTTCTTGGGAAACATTCTAAAAAATTCCCAGAATTATGCAATTCCTGAAAGTGTTTGAAGAGGTAAAAATATTGTCAGAACAATTGCTGTAGATGCTATGAACAAATCATTGGTCTTGCAAAATTATATCATGCCAGCTCCACTTCATTTCTATCGTCAAGACCATATTTTCTAGGTACTGTTTCTTCTCTTTGTTTCCATATTCCTGTCATTGGGAGAACTATTCAATTTCTCCATCATTGGCTTTAGTAGTCAGTGCATGAATTTGAATAATAGCTGTATTGATTGGACTTCCTTGAAGGTTGATAGATATAATCCTATCACTGGCAGCATTGTACTTCAAGATAGATTTAAAATGTTTTTACTTAATTTTGACAAGGAGTGTAATTTAATTTCTCTTGACTCTGTCGTTCCCAGCATAGTAAACCAAATGGTTTTCTGATTCAAAATGGCTAATACTAATCCATTTCAGCTCACTAATAGCTAGGCTATCAATGCTTACGCATTACATTTCATTTTTGATGACTTTCAATTTTCCTAGATTCATAGTTCATACATTGCATGTTCTGATTATGCATAGGTTTGGAAGCTGTTCCCTCTCATTTTGGCTTGTGTTCTATCAGAAAATGAAGGTCCTGAAGGCACTACTCCATGTTATGACGGTCCATTCTCCTTTGAGAAGGCAGGTCTGCCTTAGTCGTATTGAGAATGCCATCTAACCCGAGGAGCTCAGCCTCTGGCACTCTCTCTGACAACCCTCTGCTTCAGTTCATTAGGCCTTCAGCATCGGACAACGTTTTCATGCCACCCATGAGGATTTCCGCAGCTAATTCCTCCAGAGGGGACAGCCTTCCATATAAGCAATCGGTGGTCTGTTTTACTTTGCAATCTGTTCTTTGTAGCAATTTGTAGTCTCTTCTTAGTCTAGAAACTCTACTGAAATATGCTCATTTGGGTGCTAGTATATGAAATACCAGTGACATAGCTTCCAGCATCACAGCAACACATAAGCTCCCACCATACAAATAGACCGACAAGTAGTGCAGTTAGTGTTTATGCATCCTAAATTAAATTAATCAAAAAGGAAAAAAATCAATCCCTACAAACTGGAAAGAGTTGTTCCCATATTTCAAACAAATAATCTAGAAAAATATTTCAAAAGATTTTAACAGATAATTTTGAGTGTATAATATTAACGGAAACAATCCTGAAGATAAAAAGAAATCAAAGTTAATTCTGTTGTGTTCTTTCTGGTGGCAATGTTTGTATTATAATTATTTCAAGTATTTATTAAGAAAAATGCTAATTCTGTTAATATTTTAGGAAACAAAATTTAGTATGTAAGCGTACAATAAATAAACATACTTAGTGCATAAACAATGCTTTCTGAATATGAAATAACAATATGAAATCAAGACTTGACAGATTTAATTAGAATTACTCAGAATCAGCTTGATCGTGGCGAGTTTGGCCTTTGGGCTTTGGCATACTGGTGATATAGTGGGTAAGCATTGGGCTGCTGAGAGATTGGTGTTTTGAACCCATCTTGGGAGTAAGGTGAAAAAAAATCTTCTTTGAAAATTTAAACCTCGGAATCCACGGAAGCATGGCCAATTTTAGAGTTGAGGTAGTTGCAATGTCCGAGAAGAAAGAAGCTTTCCAAAAGTCCTGGATGAATGTTCTGGTAGCCAGCCTTACGAATGTGCTCCAAACCCCATATAGGCCCAAGTAAGCACCAGAAACATATATCTACAGCTGATTGAATAATATTAGTATTTTTAAATCAATGATGCTAAAAGAGACAGAGAGGTTTTCCATTCTCGCATGGTCAGGAGACTAATAGCAAGAGAAAGTGGTCACACTTTAAGCCAGTTATCCTAATTTTGTTATAAGCAAACATGGACAACCCATATTAAGACTCTCAAAAAATAAATTTATCAGACTATTAATGGTGGCTCTTCCTGATAGAAGTGTAAATGATTCTGTGTTTTCACTATACTTCCCATATTTACATATTTTCTAAAATCAACATATTGTTTTATAAACAAAAAAAGGAAGCAATCATCGTAAAATTATCACGCTTCGCCATCAAGTGTTTTGTTCACCACACCCCTAGCAGTGTGGTGCCCCTTCACGTGGTGAGGGAATAAGAAGCTGGTGTTCATTCAGCAATGTCCGAAGCATTGAACTTTACCTTCTCACTTAATTCTTACAATAACCCTGTAAGAGAAATATTGCTTTCCCATTTCATAGGTAACAAAATATATAAATATATTCATGTAAGTTTATATGAATAGTTAATCAATAGATTGAACCTGTGATATTGTCATCTGCCCACTTTTAACTGAGGGGTTCGCCGTCAGGTCACAAGCCTGTGGCCAGCATTGTGACCACTCTTTGGGCGCCCTTCCTTCTCTGTCCGTCTGCTCCCTGCTAAGATATGACCCTCACACCTGCTGCGCCAGCCGTGCTCCTTGCTCTGCCCTTGCTGGCAGGGGACATGGTATGCACACGGCTGGCAGGGGACATGGTATGCACACGGCTGGCAGGGGACATGGTATGCACACGGCGCTCCATCCCTGTGCTTCTCGATCAGCGCAGCTCCCAAGAGGACACACTTGTCGCCTGGCTCTGAGGTGTCATGACGTACTTGTCTCTACTGTCCCACCCTCATCCTGGGAGCTGCACCTAAGACCCAAAGGGGGCTAGCAAAGGACCTCAGAGAGTGAGAATACCGTAGAAAACATTACAGGAAATACTACAGAGTCCTAGATTTTATTTTCAATTTGTTCATTGATCAGCTTTGTCCTGATAAGGAAAATCAGTAGCAAGACTAAGGCCTCAAAGAAACTTAAAAAAAAAATTGGAACACTATTTTACCAAACACAAAAACCATAGTTTGCAACCCCAAACCTGATTGTCCAAGGACACGAACGTCACTTGCCACTATGAAAGGTGCTCAACAAGCAATTTATCATTTCTTTAGATTTTGTTGTTTTATATATATTTTTTTAGATTTTGTTGTTTTATATAATCAAGTTTTTCTTCCTCTTCAGAAGGTAGCAGTGCATTGCATGATTTAAAAAAAATAATTTAAGAAGACTTCCTTCAAGCTTCCTGTGCTGGGCACCCAGGCAACACAGCTGAGTGAAAGGCTTAACCACCGGCAGAAGTAAAGTTTTTTCCTTCTACCCTAGGCAGGGTGGGCTTGTCTCCCAGAACCCCTCCACAGGCATGCCCTTGTCATTTTATTCCCCAAATCTGGGCTCAGCTCAGAGGCAAGGCTGAACTAGACTGTGACACCTACCTGGACTTGCTCAGGCCCCATGTTCTTCACAGGTGGCGGCTGGCAGGGTGTCCGCACAATGAACAGTTGCTTTCTTAGCGAGGCGGAGCTGACATCATTAAAGGCAAGGACCACCACTGAAAATTCTCCCTCCCTAGAACAGATGCAGAGAAACGAAGAGAGTGATGCTGCTGTATGTATCTTCATCCATTCCTCACAACTATCCTACATCTGCATAATCACAAGAAGTGATGGACGTGAATTTGGTAAATAAGGACAGGTGGGACGAAGATCCTGAGGTTGGTTTCCCCATGAAATATGCCCATTTCGTGTCCTATTCCTAGACCACCGCATAGGCCAGGACAGTGGCTGAACTCTTACATTGCTGTTGCTTATTATATAAGAAATACAGTCAATCCATGGGAAAGCAGATTGCTTCTATATAAGCAGCGGGCAACCACCAAGGCTCCTTCAGTCTCTCAGAGAGCTCTGTGGTGGGAGGCAAGTCTGCTCAGTGCAGCACAGGAAAGCTACACAAAGGCATCATATCTAAGATGGCCAGTAAGCCCAGACCTAAGAGTGCCAAGTGGCCATAGGTGATGTTTGTGTGGGAAAATCAGCACAGAGGCTGCTGGTGTGATCAATACAGGGGCCAAGAGGAAGGCAGAGGCAGAAGAAAGACCAGAAGGTCAGCACGGAGAAGCCATGGGCCCATACCATAGACCCCATCCTACAGACTTACAGTTTGTCCCCAGCTATATGTCCCTGGTCCAGGTTGAGACAGGGTTTTTGGCCTTTCTATTTCCTGAAGCCCTTCTGGTAAGCTGCCCAGGAGCATCCTTGCCCAAACTTGGGATCCTGTCTGGGAGTTCCACTTGGCTCTCACCCAGAGTCTCCTGGAAACTGTAGGGCTATTGCTGCCCTAGCTGAAGAAAGTGTGTTTTGCCTCCAAACTGGCCTTACTCTCTGAGGTTAAGTGTCCCCCTTGCATGGAGGACTAACTCAAGGTTTAAAGACGCATGCTTTTCTAAGCTGAAGGAGAATAGGGTTCAGAAGGGGTAGGCTTAGACCAAATGCAACCAGACAGGGAAGCAAAAGTAAGAGAACAAAATAGAGATATTGAGATCAGTGGTTTTCTTGTGTAATTGAAGGGACAAGAGCTCAGAGAATTTCTTGCCAACAGAGCATCACCACTCTCTTAATAAAACATAAGTTACTGTTCACAGCTATCCCCTCCGAGACTGAGGACCAGCACCAGATTGTGGACTACCTTCCTTAGAAGCCCCATCTCATCTTGTGAGCAGGTCATCTTGTGAGCAGAGAGCATATTAGACTGAAGCTCCCATAGTTCTCAGGCCCTGCAGAAGCCTTTAAAATGCTCCTGAACTTGTATGACTTTAGCCATTTTTGTTCTTTGACCTCCCTAGTTTTCAGGCCATGGCATGGCTATCCTCTGGACACCTTAATAAAATTCTCTAGCATTGTTTCTATGATTGACCAGAGTGACTCTTTCGCTTGTTAAAAGACCAGAGCCCAATTCTGGTAACACTAGGAATGGAGCGTCTCCAGTAGAGGGACTGTAGGCAAATACTGATAATGCAGCCTTGCATGGATGCAGAGACTGAATCCAAGAGTCCTGTTAGGGACAAGGTGCAAACACACACAAAAAAAGGCCAGGGCACCAGGCCAGGCTGGCTGGAGAGAGTTGGGTGAAGTAGCTTCTGATACTGCAATGAGTGGAAGGTTCAATAACTTCACATAAGCTTCTAAAAAGAAAACAAATTTTTTTTTTAAATTGTAGTTGAGTCAATTCTGTCAAAGTCAAAATTTTCTCCATAGGGTTTTCAATTGCTGATCTTCTAAAAGTAAGGAGATGATCGGTTGTTTGTTTGTTTTTTGGGGGGGGTGGGGGGGCGAGGGGCGGGTATCTCTGAGTGAATTCAAGCTGTCAAACTGTGCTTAGCGGTTGAGTACTACTGAGCATCTGTCAGGTTTAGTACTTAACCATCGGTTCCACCCAGGCTTCCACACAGTTTTGATGCTCTTAGCCAGGCCGTACGAAAGGAGTTTGGTTCTGATCAGCTTCTTCTTTCTACTATGGAAGAAGCAATTCCTGGTGGTGTTATTGGGGAAGAGGGACTGAGATCTGCAGTAGACCCGCACTTGGGGACAATAAGGGACGAAGGGACACTTAAGTGGGTCCCTTTATCCATAGTAGCTTTTGGGTGCTTTTCAGAAGCCTGTGGGACGGGCATCCCTACCTCATTTTACAGATTAAATAACTCAGGAGAAGAAAAGTGAAGCTCTCCGGTTTACCCAGGTAAAATGTGGCAGAGCCGATCTTTGACCTTAAAGCCCAGTGCACCAGACTAAGGCACTAGCCACCTGCCACGATTGGGCCTTAAGGAGCAAATCCCAGGAAGGTATGGAAAGTCTGTTCAAAGTCAGTCCGTATGGAAATGAGGTCTCCCAACAACTCAGCAGAGGCCAGTCCAGGGAGGGCTTGAACCCCAGGAAGGTGGCCAGGGCCCAATTCCAGGGATCAGGTGGGTACTCACAATGGTCTGGTATCACTCAGTTCTGGAGAAAGGCTCCTGACCCAGACAGGAAAGTGTGTCAAGGGGAAATAGGGTATTTTCTGCTAGAGTTCTTGTCATTGGAGAAGGTCCAAGTAGACAAATTCATCATCATAAGGAAAATTAAGTACACAGACTCATCAAATCAGGAAGAGCTCAAATTCTCAGGGAAACCTAGGAATGGGACCAATCCAATGAATCCTAAATATAGACAGAAATCCCTAAGATAGAGGGTGTAGGCCCAGGGTCCAAGTCTTATGATGGGCCTTAACGCCTGAAAGAGAATGGAGTTATCACAGGCAGGTTCAGATGTGAAGAACAGGGAGAAGTCAGAAGGGGGCCCAGTGCTCTCTCAAGCTCAGCTTAAGCAGTCTTGGAATTTCCACCGGAGGTTTTCCAGGGTACCTACTTCCCCCAAATTTATTTTGGAAAAATGTGTTCATATCTTTTTCTTATTTCTCATATCTGTTTCCAAGGGAAACATCGTTTACTCAGTAAATGCCAACTTCAAGGATAGCACTCACAGTCTCCATTGTGGCACCGAGACCCTTTGTAATTTGTCCCCGCATGTCTTCTAGTTTCATTTGCTCTTGGCTTCACCGGTCTCTTCCACACTGTACACCGGTCCCTCCATACTACTTTCAGTTCCTCCACATGCCTTCCATTGGTACCGTTTTCTCAAGCCCCCACTTAGGCTGTCTCTGTGGGACTCTCCTGCCCAGCTCTGCCTTTGGTTTGAAGCTATCAGTCAGAGTTCATCTTCAACAAGTACCAATTTTACAAAGAATTATGAGTGCTCGCACAACACCTTGTACCTCCTCTAGAGGACTCAGCCATTGTTCTGGAAGTACTTTCTCCCACCCGTGGCTTTCGCTGAGAAGCCCTGGTGGTATCGTGGTTACCAGCTGGGCTGCTAACCAGTCAGATCAACAGGTTGAAACCACTCATCACTCTATGGGAGAAGGATGGGGCTTTCTGTACTACCATCAGGAAGTACATCTCAGACACCCACCGGGGCAGTCTACCCTGTCCGTTAGGGTCATTATGGGTCAACATCGATTTGATGGCGGTGACTTTGTTTTGGTGTCTTTCCCTGGGGGTCTGACCTCCTCATGAATAATAACTGGATTTTATTTGTCTCCAGACAATATCTGTCAATTATATTGACCAAAAGATAAGCCAGTGTGTTAGTCTTGGTCCTTTAGAGAAACAAATCCACTGAAACTCATGTATAAGAGAGAGTTTTATATAAAGGGTAAGTGCACATCAAGAAAACATCCAAACCCAGTGCTGCCCAAGCCCACAAGTCCAACATTAACCCATATGTTTGACACCAATCCACAAAGTCCTCCTCCATCTCACAAAACACACTCTATGACACCGACTGCAGGAGGAAAGCCGAATCGGTGAGCATGTAAGCATCTCAGCGCTGGCAGGGGTCTCCACAGGGCTGCTCCAGCACCCAGGGCTGCATCGGGGTAGGTCCATGCGGCTTCTCCTTGGGGATGTTGTGCAGGAAGTGAGCTTTGCCAGCTGAAGCATGGAACTGGCTAAGGCAGCTGCACCCTGGTCTGACCACCAGAAAGCAAGAGACCTGAGAACTCAAAAGGCGAGGCTCACCAAGCTATTTATCTCTCCGCCCTTCAATTAATCCCACATGTGTTTATTGGCCAGGTTGGCACAATAAACTTTAACTATCTCAGCCATTTTCTTGAGAACCTGAGATCAGATAGCATAAAAAGTCAATCCCAGCCACTGTCATATGAAACTCTTTACCTGTACCTAGCATATCTTACCTTGATGCTGTACCTAGCATATCTTACCTCGTGTAGCTGTGAGTTTGGGTGCTATTTCCAGGACTGATAGTACCGTCTCCAAAGTTCCACAGGTAAGCAACATCGGTGCCAAAATTGATCCTGCATTCAAAGGTCACACTCGCATTAACCAGCGCAGAGGAGATCGATGAGAGACGGTTAGCGATGATTTTCTTCTGGATATTGATGGAGTGGGGCTCAGAGACCACACTAGTGATCCCATTGGAAGCCTTGACCACCACGTGGTACCTGTGAGATGAGGACCCAGATATCAGGAAAGTCAGATAAACGACAAGAGGGAAACAAAGTCAGAGAGAATCTCCACATTACTTCAAAGAGATCAAACAGCTGGAGAATTTAGGCTTTCCTTTGTAGGAATTTTCACAGCTTTTAATTAGCTGAATTTTCATCTTCACTGAAGGAAGGAAAAGATGGAAGAGTAAAAACAGTTGAACGCCTTTCTTATTTAATTCACATCTCAAAGTGAATGGGGAAGGTGTCGTTATTATTTAAAAGGAGAAAATTTCCCAGGTCACACTGCTGGCTAAGATGGGGTTTGAACCCAGGTGCTTTGAATTTCAAAGCCTTTACACCCAATTCAGACCAAGGGGAAGTGAGTCCCTCAGCACGCTAATCTATATTTGAACTCAATTTCCAGAAAGGTTTAATGGTCCATTACAAGCATTGTAACATCCTCAAAGTGATGTAAATGGTAGTTGAATAATGCTCAGAGGGGGCTAAAGCTGTGTTAGCCCCACTTGCCCATCACAGCATGTTCACGGACCACTGGGGCATGCGAAGTCTCTTTCCAATGCTTCTTGAAGTTGTCCTCACTGGTGGGTCTTCTCCAAAATGCCACTCAAACTCCAGGGGACTTGTTTCCTTGGTAACAGCTACAAAAGTGATGTCCACATCTGTGGCAAACACAGTTCCGTTTGTGTAGATGGAAACAGCTGTGAGGAAAGGAGGAATCAATACTTCAGAACAGAAGGTTCAAATCATACAGTAGAAGCTGGCACCGCTACTTTCCCCTCGTTCGGTCATGAGTCTAAGTCATGGCTATTGAATCTAGGAATATGGTTGCCAGGTCATGTGGGCAGCGATGGGAGCATTCGGGGCCCAGGAAGCAATTATAAGCTAAGTTAGAAGCTCATCAAAATAATACCTCATAAAGTGAGATGACCAACTCCTTTAGGAGTTTTCCTTAAAGGGGTGTGGTCTGGGGGAACGGACTGGTAATTCTGCTTAATAAACTAGCATCTCCTACCAGTAATTTGGAGACTTCAAGCCTATGAGTTCTAGTACAACTCTAGCACAAGTAGTTGGTCAATGAAGAGTTGATTCAAGGGCAAATGAGAGGCTCGGGGAAAGCTGAAAAAGAGCATCATGCTAAATGTAGCTGTCAAAACTCAACTGATGGTGTGCATTAGACGTTGTTAAATCTGGAATTTGAGCAAAAACGTACGCTGCATCTTATACCGAACAGTCACACCGGGCCAGGCTTGGTTGTCACCCGCTGGTTTTTGACACATGAAGGACACATTATACGAAGACAGAGG